GCTGTCAATGCAGTCAATTGTGTGAGTGGTGTAGACAGTGCTCTTGTTCATTTGTGGGATTACAGGTAAAGAAATGACAACCTTTGAGGCGGAGGACCCCAAATGCCACAGATATAGGCTTGTTTATGAAGGATATCGAGACAAGCCCGAGGGAGAGAAAGAGTATGACCCCAATATGTTCGCAGATACACATCAGTGCCAGGTAAGCTCCAAAATCACTCCTGGAAGGCGGACTCGTTGGTTGTATATAGGCCTGGGTCATCAAGCTGTCAATGCATGCTTTGAGATACACTTTTGTACTGGATTGGTGAGGAGTACTGGAAATAGCATAGACTAGTGGTATTCTTGGTTCAAATATGGGTGAAAAAACTAACAGATTTTGACTTAAAAGCGTGAAAAAATAATTGATTGTTAAATTGTTTGCAGCGGTCCAAACTTATTTCTCAGTCCTAACGCATTCCAAGCATCCAACTTATTCACTGCAATGAGTTTCTAAGTGCTTTCCACAACTTCCACAACTCCTAACAACTAGCATGCTAACCACACAGCAGCATTACTTCCTGGTTCACCAATATATCCATATGGTAAAACAAATTTTACTTTATTACATGAAATCAATTAACAAAATCAAAACAATAAAACTGGCCAATATTTAACAATACATATTCAAATTCAAAGTAAGTATTCAAAGTACCAAGTATTCAAAGTACCCAATTTCCTTCAAGAACCATTTTGTAATTCTTAAATCAGAGCACACACATTAAAGGAAGCATCAATGCCAAGAAATCACCAAGATCAAAACTTGTGTGTTTTACTTAATACATGAAAAAGTGACCAAAATAATGAATCGAATAAATGTGAAAATTTGGCTAGAAAACAGACTTCAGTTGCAGTTTTTAAAAATGTTTTGACTTGCTGGATGTTGATTAAGCACATAAACAAAACAAAAGAGAAGTCCCATAATTATTAATTGCTAAGTTAATATATAAATAAGGTAGAAATTTGATTAAATTAAATTCATATTTGAAAATGTATTAGTTCTCGCCAAACAATTCACCTTTTACGACAACTGCATTGAGTGCCTTAACTCTACCCAAAATTCAAATATTCAGAATTGGGGGGGGGATTTGTAAGTAATGTGTTGTTGTCAAATGTGGATCTTTACATTGTCTGTTAGTTACAAATGTACACTTTTAACCTGTTGTGTCTTCTGTAACCTGCTTTTCAAAATTAATTCACAAAACCTCTGTTGGTACTTGCAGCCTATAATCGCTTCTTCAAAAACATGTCCTGCTGCCATTTCTGCTGCTTATTTCTCCTCTTTCTCCTCCCAATTTCTGTGGTGGCTTTTGAAGACTCCAGCTCAGTTTTTTTTTTGCTTTCTTACAAGGCAAACCCCAGGAGAGGCTGATGTGAAGCGACCGGGGCCAAAGCAAGTAAGTGCGAGCAAGGGGTACTGTGAAGAATATAAACACATTTTTTTATTGTCCGGTGGGGAAAGTGGGGGGGTCGCAGGGGGGCTCGGGGTAAAAGAGACGAGGACCTTATCACAGCCCAGCAGCTCTGTAATTCGCCGCCATGATAAAGTGGCGGTGCGGAAAACCTTACAAGGCTGGCACAATCCAAAGACGGATTAGGTTTTTCTGACATAAGCTTCCTGAAAAACTAATCAATCAGTCCACGGCGTATTATCACAAGCACGAGATTAAAGCGCTTCTTCTAATCCTCGCGACTGTACATTTTATTACACTTTTTTAACACTATTTGCCTTTAAATATACAATAAATAAATAATGAACGCTGTTAGGAATAATTGAGCATGGGAAAGGCGAAAAGGGGTTAAAGAGTCCTTAGGGAGGGGATTTCTGTAGAATTTGTGTTTTGTTATGAAGACAAGGATAAACCAGCCGTCCTTGCCGAAGTGCTTTTTCAACTTTGGGCATCGCAGTGTACTGTCTCACCCCATTGAAAATCTGATTTAAGCATTAAGAACATTGAAGTTATACCACACAGTTTGTCCATAAAAAAACAAAACTGTGTGCAGCTTGACAAAAAATTACAGATCTGAAAATAATCGTTTGAAATTTTGTGACTTAAACAAGATTTCAACTTTTTTTTCGAGCAGTGTAATATTTATTGGAATTTTAATGTACTTTCCAACTAGTTTATGCAAAAATTAAAAAAACATAATTCTTTATTGATTGATTTCAAAGCTCTAATGTAAACTGAAACTAAAAAAGCACAACGTACAAAGTGTTCTTGCAATTTTGCCAACAACTACAGATAGATACAAGACACATTTAAACAGACACTGATTCAAAGTACCAAACTTGGGCCAATCCTCTTCGAGAAACATCTTGTAATCCTTAATTCAGCGCACACACATTCACACACAAGTTCACTAAAGGAAGAATCATCAACGCCAAGATCAAAACTTATGGTCTTTAGTCTCTGCTACAAGCTTAACGCACCCCTGTCACCATGGTTACATACATTGTCATTGAACACGTCTCAATAAACGCATTACAGGTGTCTTGCAGTGATGTCTTCTTATACACTTAATCCTATAGTCAAACTTGTAGGGAGGAGGCAGGGTGCATAGCTTTTGAAGAAGGTTTATCTTATCTATATTGTTCTCTTGTCATTGCCAGCTGGGTTAACTGCGGCAGATGTCACTGTAAGAATGGATTCTCTGAGGATGGCTTTGACCTGCTTGATTTGTCCCCGGGGTAAGGCACAGATGCTGAGGCCAGGTCGGGGTTAGCCCATTTCAGTTTTATTTTTACACTTTGATTCATGTTAGAACTGTTTACGTGGGGAGTGAAAGAGACATATGCTTCTACAAGACAACTCGACAACTGCATGTAGTACAGAAGAGGTGTGTTCTCTCGTGCGCTGATATGAAATGAGTGGGTGATATTACGAACCTATTTTTATTTTTTCTTCATAAAGATCAGGCACATTAATATTTCTTTCCTGAATATAGATAGTACAGACTTTTAATAATTGCCATTTAACATAAAACATTTTCAAATTTCGTCCTCTAAATTTAAACTCTGCTCCAAACACACGATTGGCTCCAGATGTCCCAATTAAAAGACCCACGCATATCACTGATGATTAGAAATGAAAGAATCTCAATCTGGATTCTAATTAAATTAACTGCACAGCCATATGAAATAAAAGGAAAACATGAACGTGAAGGCTGAAAATGCCCTTGTGAAAGTTAAAAATGTCCTTAACGAGTGGACAATACAAACATGTAAAAAATATACTTGCAATATTTGAGTCCATGTCAGATAATTTGAAGTTTTTTCAATACAAATGCAGAAAATGTCACAAATTTTATCAATTAAAATGCTTGGACAGCTGAAGTGTACCATTCATACACTGCAGTAAAGTCTATAAGCACAGGAAAAACGTTCATTAATATTTAATCTTGTATGAAAAAATGACATATTTTACTGATACATGAGACTATTCATCCCTAACTTCTTTTCACGGTCAAACCCTTATAAGTCTATACAACTATTACAAACCCAATTCAATTTAGTCACACTATCTACTTGGTCAAATATCTCAGTACAAAATTACTTGAGTGCTAAAATTTGACACCATTTTATCACTGCACATTTAAACCCCCAGACGAGTGGTGTAGTTAACGTGATAAGACCCAATATGTCCATTTTCAGACAGGCCGGGCCCAGTGGGACAGAGTGGGGCAGTGGAGCATATGAACGGGCTTGTCTCTGGAGATGTGCCCTCTCTCTCCCTCTCTCTCTGTCTCTCTCTCTCTCTTCTCTTGGGGCTAAGGTGGTCCCAAAGGTGCTGAGCTGATTACAACATACACTTTTTAACTGCAGTTCAAGGCTATCTCTAAAAAGGGGGGAAAACATCTTTGAAGGATACCATAGATGTTCTTCAATAACATGGCATTTCCAGTTTTGGTGTGATCACGGCGGGAGTCACAGAATATAAGCGCATGATAAATATCCAGCAGGAAAAAGGCACTTGAAAATTTGCCTTAAGCCGAAAATCTTTCTTTGTAATATCTTGCAATCAAAACAGCACAACTGAAAGATTAAAGCTTATAAAAGACAATGAGAGTCTACCACAGATTTGCAATTTCATCACTTTTAACAAGTTATCATTGGGGCACGGCAAAGTCATTTTCACCTAGTGTCTTGTCTTTTTTTTATTTTTACAAATTTTGAGTTTATTTAGTCATTTTTTTAACTTGGGAGCGGGTTTGAGGTTTGACAAAGAGATCAGGAATGTATTAAGAGCTGGGCTTAAGTTAAGAAAAGTGGAATGAAGACTGGTAATGAGATAGTAAGGACAGTTAAGAAGTCAATTGTAGAGAAATAATGTAAAGTATATGAGCGTTGGATAGTGTAGGCACTGTAAAGCTTGAATCTGTCTGTATTTCTAAATGAATCACTATATCACTATATTTTAGGTATCAGCCAAAAGGTTTCATGTTTAAAGTCATATATGTGCTTATACAGCTTACTTTAATATTGCCCTACATTAATTTGAACATGATGTCATATGTAATGTTATATGTATTACAAGAACTGACACTGTCTTTGCTATTGTTTTGATTGTTGTAATGTAATGTAATGCATTTTCTACAACAAAATATAAGATATATTAGCCCTGCCAGTATAATGTGATTAAAATATTTCTTGCAAAAATATATCTTTTTGTTCAAATCAGCAAATATACTGCAAATAGAAATATTCTGTTTACAAAGGTTTGATCTGAAATACTTTAGACAATTCAAGTTATAACCTGCAGCTGTCATTTACAGTCATAGTAAATATATAAGTAACCTAATTTAATGTGGAACAACTTCAAAAGGCGCGTTCAAACGCTCCAAAGCCCGTGTAGGAAAACTGCAAATATTCCAAAAGTCCTGAACAAACCCCCGCACTTTCCCGGCTGTCTTGTTTCTCCAAACATGACTTTTTGTGCACTGACTCGCTCCGCTGAACTCACCTGGTGCAGGAGGAATAGCAGCAGTAGTGTTTGCACGGCTCTCATCTTTGACTGACTTCGGAACTAATTCACGATGAACGACGCTTAAATCCTCTCTGACGCTCCGGGCAGAGGCACATGGCGCTCGCACATTGTTTCTTTTTCACCTGCAAAAAACACAAAACATTACTTTCCACTGAGATTTTGTTAAATTGGCAAGAAACTTGAACTCACCGCTTTAAAATGGCACTTCACTTTGCGCAGTCAGTCATGCTTGTCCAATCCACTTCGAGCTCCTAAAATCCCGTACAAGTTTCTCTCCTTTGAATAATTACTCCTTAGAAATCAGTTTTTACTGCCAAACTTCTACAGAACACAACCAGATAAAGTTGAGGACCGAAGCGAAAGAGTGTCTCATCTATACAGCCTATGGTCTCATCCCTCGCTGTATCCTGTGTAACTACGCAGGGCACGCGCACTCTGTAGCCAGTTGTTGTCTCTGGTCTCACTCACTGCTCCTCGCTCTCCTCCTCGTGTCTTCTCACAGTCGCCTCACCGCTCACCCCCCTACATCTTCTACTGTTATCCATGTGCGTATTGTGTTGGTAGCGGCTTGGTTATCTCCAGTCTATGGTTATATCACGTCAAATATAAGAAATTGTCACGTGAGTTCCGTTTGTGGCGCAAGGTATTGTGCTGAACCTTCCCAAAATGTGACCCGACCGGGCGCAGACTGTTACGCACAAGAGAACAACACCATGCTATATCATACTTGATTATTGAACGTAAAATACAGTGGGAAACATTTTTAGATATTAATTGACCTAATACCTAATTAAGTGGTGTAACAGAGCTGTTCAGTGCAGTAAACTAGTAAAAAGTGATTTCTGAAAACAAGGATATTTATCATTAGTTCGGCCATAGCCCATTGTAATCTGTTCAGAAGATTTAGATCATATTTTTACTTGTTATTACTATAGTTGAGAAATACACTGTGAATGCACAACACAGTCAATTATCCTAACTGAAAGTTGAAAGTAAAAATACACATTGTTATTGTTATTTCAAACGAAGGGTTAGTGTTCGTCACTTCACAAATGAACTATTAAAGTCCAGTTACGTTTTCAGAAAGAACCGTTTTGACTTCAGCTATTAGATATCTGCATATTCTTGTGATTGAGCTATTTTGTGGTAAAAAGTCATTCATGATAATCCTACATGAATTCCATTTTCAATTACGGGAATGCATAGGTCTATAAAGCCTAATGCTGAGTGGTGTCATTTAAGGAGAAAAGTATATCAACAACCACAAAAAAAAAAAAAAAAAAAAAAAAAAAAGACAAACTGGCAACTACATGCTGAGGTCTGACATTCGCAAAACAGGATTTTCCAGCCTCACTACTTTCACGGTGACAGGCCTTTGGGGATCACGAAGCTCTGGTGACATCTAGCGGTAAAATTAAAGCACTTCATGTAAAAGGCGTTGGGCAGCTCATGACAACAGCCTTCAAAGCCTAAGCAAAATCATATATTGATCTAGATGAGGTGTTAGGTTTATCTAAACATTATAAACAAGAAGAAGACAAGAGATTAATTCAGTTTTACTCGCGAGGAGAACGGGCAGAGAGTGGGCATCACAACCAACAGTCTCCACACGTTCTGATGACTCAAGGCCGCTCTCCTCTTTTTATTTCATTAGGAGGCCCTAGTTACAGAATGATAATTCTCAAGGGGAAGGGGAAACGTAAAGGTGCCCTGTATAAATGTTGTGGTGACTACATCTTGTCTCCACGGAGACATTATTATTGCCTGAGATTTTACACAATATGACATTAAACAATTCTATTTATTGCTCAAACATATGCTGAAAAGCATGCATTGTTACTATGAGCGTGGCTGCCACTCCACAGATTTAACTTGTCTGTGACTGGACCTGATGCAGTCCCGCGCTTGTTTCCATGTATAGTAGAGGTTGAGTGTCATACTGTGGAACATTCTTCTATCTCACCGACTAGTGCAGTGCCTCACCAGAAAAGTTACAAAGTGCACCTTTAAGGGGATGCACGAATTCTAAATTGCAATATGCATTTAAAAAATAAGGGACTATATACTATAACTATAACTATGACTATATAAACAGTTATACTAAGAATATTTCTAAAATGAAAAATAGGCACAAATCCTTTAAATGTAATCAGATTTTATTCACAGTCATTACTGTAAACACAAAACTCAGTATCTGGTGGTTCCTTAGAGTGCAAGTCAGTCACATTTGGTTTACACATTTGTATTTTGTATTGTGTAATGACATGGTAATAGCAAATACATTTCCTTCTGATGACAATAAACCATGCAACTACTGTAAACAATAATATCAAAATAAAATCATATGCATATTTGAGTGCATTTTTGGTTGCATAAAAAATAGTACTTAAGTGTATTAGGTAGTGCTGTTTGCAAGCAAAATCAAAAATCATAGTTTGCAATAGTGCTTCCTATCTGTATTTTCTCAATGAACTTATGCATGGACCAGTATGCAGCTCAGGGTGCTGTCAAACATTATTTTTCCATCTTTCTGAGAGCTGCACTTGTTCTTGAGCAGATCCAAGATGGCCTCCTTGACTTCTGAGGTGACGGATGCATAGAAGTCTTCTTTAGCTGTTAAGTAGTCGATCAGGTCACAGCCAAATTTATCCTTTGGGTTGAAGCAGTTTGTTATGTCAAAGGTGTTGGGAACTGGATGCTCATCGTATTTTAGGCCCATTTTGTCGAGGCAGGCCTTTATCTCTGCAGATGAGCGGTACTCAGTGATTGTGTGAGTGCACAGGTCTTTCGAATGGGTCTTCCACAGAGTGTCCCAGCCTCCATTGGCTGCAGAAGACAAAGCATTATAGAGAAAATTACATTAAAGTTGACAATGACATTAAATAATTGTTTTTAAATGTGTAGAACAAGGAAAGCAACAAGAAGCTGAATTACCCCGATATCATAAATATAATTGCATAGTATTGGTAAAGTAATTTATTTCTTATTTTTTTAATGAACACATATTGTGCTTGTGCTACTAACCTGTTTCAACAATAATCATAAGTCGTCCATTCTCTTTCAAAAGCCCGTGGTAGAACTCAATTGTTGATGCCAAGTCATCCACATAATAGATCATCTATAAATCCAACAAAGCCATCAGTTCATGCAACAAAGTTCAAATTTTGTGTGCTGCAGTCACGTAGGTGGGTAAAGTTCATTTAAAATAACAGTGAAAGAAAAGCATCAGCAGAGGATTAATACATAGACATATGTAACTCCTTTTTGGGCTGTGCCATTTCAAAAAATATTTTAACTAATAATTATTATATAATTATTTATTTTAAATAGTTTTTTAAACAAATCGGTCCGGTCAAGCGGAAACGGAGGGAAACGGGCAGATTTTTAACATTCAAATAGCTCTTATTCAGAAACTAGAGGGACCATTGAAATAAGTAAGGTATCAGAATGTAGGAAAGAGTTAACACTCCAACAGGGTAAAGTTAAACCTGTGATATTCTTTCAAGTTGTTGACAAAAAATTTTAAAACTCATGTCGGTAACGGAGGGAATGAAATATGCAGCACTTTTTGGGCAATAAATACAAACAGCAATAACTAGCGGTTCCCACTTACATATCCTTAACAAACTGGTTTGAATATTTGCTTAATATAGTTTTCTACCATATGGTACAAGATTAGGTTGAAAAACCTCTTGCTTTTTGAGCAATGAGATTTTTTATTAAGAAAGGTCATGGTAATGGAGGGAAAATTGCAAGCAAGTAGAAGGTGCATGATTTTGCATAATTTGTCAGCTTTTTTCTTCTGAATACTTTAATATTACTTCAAAATGAAAGGTAACTATTTCTATAAAATATATCAGTCCTTCCAAGCTAATTTTTATCATTTAAATTTATTTTATTTTTTTTAAATCATGTACCTTTATCAACAGTTCAAAGATCGAATAACACAAGATATGACAATTTATTTACATGATTTGCAGGTCTTTGAAATTTGGGAAATAATTTTTGTTCCATGTTACATACATGGTCTGTTTAAAACGTATGTAACTTTAGAACCAAAAATGGTACAGAAAAAAGGTAAACAGTTTCATAAATTAGAGTACATATGCCATCTGTTGAATACATTTTCATATCAGATGCATTAACTTGAAGTTTTGGCCTTGCTGTATACTTCTGCTTGACTGGGCCCAAATGTTACATAACATGCAAAACAAGAAATGAATGGCGCAGGGAGTGGTAGGATTGTCTGTGGTCTATAAAGCCATTCTTGCAGCTAAGCAACCAACCCCAGTAGCCAACTGAAGACTCCAGGGGTGCGGTCACATGCCACATGATTTGGTCCTGAGTTAAGCCCAGTTTAGTCCTGCTGTAAACTTGGTATTTGGTGCTGTTTTAGGCTTGATTTAGTGCTGGTCTGATCCAGGTTTTGTTCTGGGTTTAAGTTTGAATGTGTTCCATATGCAAGTGAGCGTGCCCATACTTACAGATATATGTCCTCCATAGTTTAACTTTTACCTGAATCATGTGGATGAAGTCAAACTTCTTCACATGCTCTGTTGCTTTGACTTGCTTCACATAATCCTCACTTGGCATGATGTGCCATTGGAATGGGACATTCTTAAGGTTGGCTGTCTTACCTACCAACGCTGTGGACAATACAACATGAGGACAATGTATATGCAGGTTTGTTTCATATTCTACAGTTTCATGGTGTAGATTTACCTTTAAAGTTGTTACTGAGCTTAATGCTGCCCTCCACAACATCTGAAGTAATTTGGACACCAGGGAATGTAGACTGGAACAATGTCAACATCTGGACATCCACCTGACCTGCAAACAAATAATATGCATACAAATAAAGAGATGAAAATTACAGTCTAAACTTCTGACATGGTTGTAATACCTATTTAGACATACCAATAAGTCATATGTTTGTATTTTTGTGTTTACAAAAAGAAATGCTCGACATAGGGTTAGGGTTCAAATTTTTGAATATTTTTTTTTACATTCTCAATGCCATACCATTGAGTCATCCTATAGTATTTCATATGACAAGGTATTCAGTGGAGATTAGGACCATAAATCACTTAGCACCTGACAAAACTTGTTTTTTTTTTTTTTTTTTTTTTTTCCTTTTGTTTTCATTTCTTTTGTCGAATCCGACTGGTGTTCAAGTTACACCCAATAGAGTTATTTTGTCAAAATTATTTTATTAATCCAGCATTTAAGTATGGACACATAGAATTAATTCAAAGTAAAGAATTATAATTATTGATTGATGCTTTACATACCTCCGCCACTCCCCACACCCAGCACATCCAGGCTGCTTTTACCTGCTCCAATTCTGTAGATACAAAGAAACAAAGAGTTCTTCAAAGCCTCATTATGTGACTTTATATGTCAAAATACAGAATGCACTGCAACAGCAATATTCTTAATAATTCTTCTGTGTTTCATCTAACATGCTAGTCTCTTTTCTCACAAGGATCTCATCAAAATGTAGATACAAAGAAATGCACATTTATATTTGCAAGTAACTATTAATTAAAAAAGAAAATCTATTACATCTATTACATGTTGTTATTTGGCCTTTACGCCGAGGTCTTATGTGGAGATGAATATTGTTACTGTTTCTGTTACGCACACAACGGCGATTTATCCATCAAGTCCTACATGTTAAATACTGCAACCGAGGTTTAATGTGAGGCGTAGTCTGTAGTTTCACGTTTACCTCTTGAACTCTTCAGGCAGGACGCTGTGCACACACTGCAGAATGGCTTCGTGCTCTCCAGAGTGCCCCAAGTAAAAGTTAAAGACTTCGGCGCAGCAGTCTTGGTAGCACGTTGCTGTCTTTTCTTTCTTTTTGTTTTCTGCAGCCATGTCCGTTTCTTGAAGCGATTTTAAACACAAGAAATCCCCGGAGCAATAACTTTCCGGCTTCTCTTATCTGTTCAACAAGTTTGTATAATTGTGCCTCGCTTATAACCTAATATTAAGCGACTGTCAGGTCATTGCCCCACCTTCTGGATCTGTCACGGAAGAGCGTTACGCAATGATCTGAACATTACTCTGTATTACAGCTACAACAAAAAGCACGGTTTAAGTTTGACTCTGTGTTGTCAAACTGTTTACAATTTATCAAAGTTAACATTATAGTACACATTCAAATGCTCTCAAATAGCCTATAATTCGGTGAAAACCTGTTGCGCTTCTAATGTGTGTGTGTGTGTGTGTGTGTGTGTGTGTGTGTGTGTGTGTGTGTGTGTGTGTGTGTGTGTGTGTGTGTGTGTGTGTGTGTGTGTGTGTTTTTCCGAGCCACTCCTCTTCAGAGACAACACTTTTCGCTGTTCTATCAAAGCCCTGTTGCAATTGCTGTAGCTATTGGGTGCAGTTGATATCATCCCAAAAATTCAACAGATGGCGTTAAAACTCCACAAATCTTTCAGTCTTCTTGTGGTATTGCTGTTTGTGTTATTTTTATATTTGAAGTGCTTTGCCAAACTTATTAGTAAAGTAGACCCTGAGTCTAACAGTAGACTGTTATGTATATTTAGAATATTTTAGAAATTAGAATAAAACATAAACAATCAAAACTGGATTTTCTGTGGCATATTTCTACAGTAGTATCCTGTCATTCTAAGAAGTGTGTGCTGCGACCAAGTTCCAGCCAAGTTAGGCTTCTTGTGGTCAGACTGTTAAAATAAAGCTAAGATTAATTCTAACTTGACTCACATCCTCAAAAGAGAAATGCTTTCAGTTAGCTTCATACCCACAGGGGAATGTTGATGACATCAGCTGCAAAGTCTCTATATTCAATTCAATTTAAAAAAGTTTATTGTAAAATTTACATAGGAACATATGAAAAATATAATTATGTTCTCACTCTCAATTTTCTAAAATAAAAACAATATATATAAAATAAAAGGAAAGGTCCAAAGGTCTTCTTTAAGGAGACACAGATTCGTAGCTTCCTGGCCACCTGGTGGTTAGAGAGGGGAGATAGTTCAGCATCCTAACAGCCTGGTGAATGAAGCTGTTGATGAAGTGAGTTTGGTGGTGCGGGAATGGGGGCTCCTGCACCTCCTCCCAGTGACCTGCATCACTCACAATTGAAATGGCTTTGCAGATTAGGTGGGTGATGTATATTTCTTGCAGGGAGGGGAGTGGTGCACCAGTGATCTTCCTGGCTGTGTTCACTATGCGCTGCAGGGCTCTCCTGTCATGGTCAGTGCAGCTTCTGCCCCATAGAGTGATGCAGCTGGAAAGGATCCTCTCAATGGTCCCTCTGTAGAATGTGGTCATGAATGGTGATGAGGCACTTGCCTGCTTGAGTTTCTGCAGGAAGTAGAGGCACTGCTTAGCTTTCTTCACCAGTGATGCAGTGTTGGTGGTCCAGGAGAGGTCCTCACTGATGTGCACCCTCAGGAATTTAGTGCTGCTCACACTCTCCACAGCAGCACTGTCGATGGTCAGTGGCAGAGGTTGGATGTGGCCTCTCTGGAAATGGATTTAATGTGAGTCATGACTAGCCATTCAAAGCACTTCATGATGACGGGTGTCAGCGCCACAGGGCGGTAGTCATTGAAGCAGGATGGGGATGGTTTCTTTGGCACGGGTACGATGGTGGCGACTTTGAATGAAGATGGGACAATGGCTTGCTGCAAGGAGGTGTTAAAGATGTCTGTAAAGACATTCTTTAGCTCCTCTGGGCAATCCTTCAGCACACAACCTAGGGTGTTGTCTGGACCTGCTGCTTTACATGGGTTGATGTTGGTGTGCGTCCAGACAGGCACAGAGTCTGGTCATCGAGAGGGGGTGTGGTTTTATATGTGGGTGGGTGTTGTTTTGTGCTTCAAAGTATGCAAAGAAGCTGTTTAGGTCTATATGGAACAAATAAAGATTCTAATCTTATTTTATAGCAATACCAATTCAGATAATTAGAGTATTGTGTGACAAATCCATAACTGGCCAAAAAGCACAGCCCTCTTTCTTTATTTTATACTTTCCCATATAAACTTAATCCGATGCATTTATTACTATGGCCTCAGAGTAACCAATAGTCATGACTCTCCTTCTCTACACTACAGTCTCAGAGCAGCTTCAGCACCCCCTGTATGAGCTCAGGTGAGGCAGTTTTATTGAAGTCCTGCACCTTGGTTAGAAAATCCAACATCAAATCTCCAGTGTCACCTCCTTCAGTGAAACATTCAGTGATGTCTACACAAGAGTGCAGCTCGCAGCTCTTATAGTGGACTCTGTAGGGGTCCAGCAGGCTCTTGATGTCTGCACTGGACACAGATGGAGAAGCGTGCCATCCCTCTGAAAGGCACAGCTGCCTATGGACAGCTTTGGAAATCACCACCTGAGCACTCTCCCCAAAAATCAATAAACACATAAACTAGCATAGTGCTTTCTGGTTGGGCTGGGTGACATGGAGATAAAAATGCAATTGTGATCTGATGCCTAGTCATATTGTAATACACTTCCTGTATTACCACATTACAAAGTGGTATTTCGTTTGACAGAAGAATTCAGCCTAAATAAACTGCTCAAAACAATTAGGGGAACACTTGTATTTTATTACCAAACTCAATGTCGAATGCACAAATGTTACAATTTTGTACTGAAACTAAATTCCCAATGTACCCTGAACACTGGGAGCGTCAAACTGGCCAAGAAGAACAAAAGTTAACTCTTGGAGGACCGAATTATGAAATGATGAGAAAAACAAAGTGACTGTAGGGAGAAATGACAATGGAAGAAATGATGAATTTGCAGCACAGCACATTGCACAGCCACTTTAGTAGTGGGTATGCCCTCCACGAGCCTGTATGCACTCTCAACAACGTTGTGGCATGCTCCTGATGAGGCGGCGGATGGTGTCCTGGGGGATCTCCTGCCAGACCTGGATCAGCACATTGGTAAGCTCCTGGACAGTCTCTGGATGCTGCCGAATATGCCGATACATAATGCCCCAGAGGTGCTCAATGGGGTTCAGGTCCAGAGAACGCAAGGGCCAGTCCACAGCATTGATGCCCTCTTCCTCCAGAAACTGGCGGCACACTCTGGCTACATGAGGCCGGGCATTCTCCTGTACCAGAAGAAATTCGGGGCCCACTGCACCGGCGTAGGGTAGAACAATGGGTCTGAGGATTTCATCTCTATACCTAACAGCTGTCATGGTACCTTGATTAAGCACATGCAGGTCTGTGCGACCCTCCAGAGATATGCCTCCCCAGACCATAACTGACCCACCACCGAATGAGTCATGCTGAACGATGTTGCATGCCGCATATCGCTCTCCACGGCGTCTCCAGACTCAGTCACGTCTGTCACATGCACTTAAAGTGTACCTGCTTTCATCTGTGAACAGTACTGGGCGCCAGTGGCGAACTTGCCAATTCTGGTGGTCCCTGCTGAAGGCCAGTTGGGCTGCACGGTGCTGGGCGGTGAGAACCGGCCCAACCAACGGCCGCCTGGCCCTCATGCCACCCTCGTGGAGTCTGTTTCTGACAGTCTGGTCAGAAATGCGTACTCCAGTGGCCCGCTGAAAGTCTCCTTGAAGGGACCTAGCAGTGCTTCTCTTGGACCGCATCGCAGATATACGGAGAAATCTGTCCTGCTGTTGGGTGGTGGCCCTTATTTGGCCTTGTCCAGGCCTCCTGGAGTACTGGCCCATCTCTCTAAAGCAACTCCATGCATGGGAGATGACACTGGGAGACACTCTGAACCATCTGGCCACCTGACGTACAGATGATCCATCCTCCAGCAGCTGGACTGCCTGTGTGACTTCACAAGGCTGGAGGTAACGCATTATGTTTGCAATAGAGTCAAAATGATCAGAAATTCCTCAAACACGAAAGAAATAACGATTCGGAAGGTCAGGAGCACAAAATCGTCGTGGCTACCACAAGGTAACTCACTCCAGATTTGGAGGTTGGCTCGCTTTTGACAGTCCTGTCTAGACCTTGTTTATTGCAATTGGGTCAAAGGCAATGAAACTGATTCACAGGTCGCTAAGGTTCCAAACTAGCTCGGTGGAAAACTCCAATGCGCCAATATATGTCTGTGATATCCCAAAAATAAAGTGTTCCCCTAATTGTTTTTAGTTTATATAGATTTTGCGTGTTAAATGTGTGAATGAAATGAGGAAAAACTCCAAGTATGTTTGTGATGAGGAGACAGCATTATAACAGATCAGAAAATACCGTAATATGGGCCCTTTAATGTAGCCCGATAAAACCAAGAAACATCCCTTCTGCCACCCCTATTGATGGTCAAGCTCCATCATTCAGTGAGAGACTTTATTTGTAAAGGCAATATAAACATACTAAGTGTACTGTGATAAAATCAAAACAGTGATCAAAGAAAATAGTGATATTGTTTTTTTTTGGACACAATTACTTCCTTGTAGTACAAAAAGAAGATTGAAGAAAGGAGGGAGTGGCGTATTCACCTACCTGCTGCTAAGATAATCAGAAGCTTTCAGTTCTTGTTGAGGAGACTCTGAAAGAAGCTGATGGTGGCTCCAAGATCTTTCATATAGTACAGCACTTGTGGATTGAGCACAGACAATACACTGGTCACTAATGGAGCTCCATATTATAATACTGGACTATTGATTAATTGATTTTTATTTTGGTTATGACAGAACTATTCAGCTTTTGTTTACAATGTTCAAAAGAAGTTTAACAAAAAATAATACAAGTATACCTTATTTACATCTATGGTAAAAGGTGAACACAGGAGTCTGCATTGCCTGCTCACACCAGCTGACACACACACACACACACACACAACAATAGCCTACAATAATTAAATGGCCTGTACCTGATTTTAATTTATTCTAAACAATAAATGCTTTTTACATCATACATTGTATGCTAAAAGATCTAAAATATGAGCAAACTTGAGATTGCAAAATATAAGTTATTCATTTAGGCACACTTGCAATTTTCTGATCAAAAACTAGTGAAGTTTTATTAAGGCTACCATGTTCAATGAGAATATAAAATAATAAACAAATAAATCAAATCAAATCTACATGTTATACACTAAAGCTTGTGCTGTAGTTACAGAACTGCTGGGCTCCACGACTTCGTTATCGTAGGTTATCCACAAGCACCCCGGAGTGCTTCAGATGCAGTTAAGAGAGCATCTCCAGGTCAATCAACAGTCAACCATTTGTTTGGACTTGCCTGGCGCTTCCAATATTAAAGTTGTAATTTTCAAAGAAAAAAGTCTTAATTTGACAAGAACATGGTTATAATGAAAATAAAGACAGAATTTTATCAAGATTTAGAGACCAACACCAGTGTCAAGACTGTGGCCACCATGGTCAGAGTGCAAAAGAATGGTGCTAATATGAGTTACATAACTACAAAACCAAGCAAACAGCTATATGAAATACCACACGCTTGTTTGGTAATAATGCACATACTCAAAACTGTCACTAACCCAATTTTCACATAGGCTATTTTGTTCTTGATGAGCAAATAATAAAAATACTGTAGAGATATGTCTGAATAAAAGATGTTGTATTTGATTATTATTATTTGGAATAAGTTACACAGAATACAAAACCATTTTCAAGCCAGTCAGAGAAACTGTGAAGGTCGGTAACCGATGTAAAAGTGGGCAGGGCAGAATAAGGTGGCTACAGTTCTGTGAAGCACATGTATTGTGCAAATTTTGAAGTATGATATTTACATAAGCTTTTGCACTTAGCATTTATTACTTTTACTATAGATTTTTTTATATTTATAATTACTGTTTCAATTATCATTAGGATCATTAGAATTATTTACAATGAGCAATATTAATTTATCATTATTACCCATTTATCTAATGTTTTTGTATCTCCTCAATAGTAGTAAAAACTCCATAATCAACCATTGTGCCAAAGGGTGACGTTTATGGTTATTAATGTTAACAAATTCACACTATTCAACTCACATTCTTCTTTACTCATATGCCACCCATACCACTATCAACCTGTTTATTATTTTTTAACTAGTTATTATGTTATTAATCATCACATTGGGAATTCCTGACTTTATTCTTTCCGAACTCTCCACCTTTGCTGCAAGACCCCACCCCCTCCTCCTTACCACACCCTGCAATTCAAAGAAAAAAAAATTATATATATAGAGAGAGAGAGAGAAGAGAGAGAGAGAGAGAGAGAGAGAGAGAGAGAGAGAGAGAGAGAGAGAGAGAGAGAGAGAGAGAGAGAGACAGAGGCACTGATCCTGGCTGCTCAGGAGCAGGCCCTGGGCACTCGAGCAATAGAGGCCCAGATCTACCACACCAGACAAGACCCACGGTGTAGACTGTGCAAAGAGGCTCCTGAGACAGTCCAGCACATAACTGCAGGGTGTAAGATGCTGGCAGGGAAAGCATACATGGAGCGACATAACCAAGTGGCGGGCATAGTGTACAGAAACATCTGTGCAGAGTACGGGCTGGAGACCCCAGGATCAAGGTGGGAAACACCTCCAAAGGTTGTGGAGAATGACCGAGCCAAGATCCTGTGGGACTTCCAGATACAGACTGACAGAATGGTGATGGCGAACCAACCAGACATAGTGGTGGTGGATAAGAAACAGAGCAGAGCCGTGGTGGTGGACATCGCAATACCAAGCGATGGTAATATCAGGAAAAAGGAACACGAGAAGCTAGAGAAATACCAGGGGCTCAAGGAAGAGCTGGAGAGAGCCTGGAAAGTAAAGGCATCAGTGGTGCCTGTGGTGATCGGAGCACTCGGGGCTGTAACCCCCAAACTGGAAGAGTGGCTACAACAGATACCGGGAAAAACAATGGACATCTCAGTCCAGAAAAGTGCAGTACTGGGAACAGCAAAGATACTGCGCAGAACTCTCAAGCTCCCAGGCCTCTGGTAGAGGACCCGAGCTGAATGAGGGTGAGAGAGACCTACCACCGTGGAATGTGAGAAACACATTTCATATATATATATATATATATATATATATATATATATATATATATATATATATATATATATATATATATATATATATATATATATATATATATATATATATATATATATATATATATATATATATATATATAAATTTTCGGACCTACTCAACAGCGGAGACAGACCAACTCTCCAATGGGTCAGAGGGTTTCCTCACTGACAATTGAGCCACCCTGTCCAGCTCAAGGTGTGACCAGGAAGAAGGCCCACTGTCCTTAACTGTACTGACACTATCTAGAAGAGAGAGAAATAAATAAATAACAAAGTGGTAATGAAAGGAGAAGAGGGGAAGGAGAAAAAACAAGAGGAAAAAATAATTATCAATTAATTATCAGAATAAATATTCTTCCCTTTCTTTTTCTTTTCTTCTTTTTTTCTTTACCCTTACCTTCTTAGTTTGCCCTCCCATAAAAAAGTAAATAAAGACGATAAACAATAATACTGAACACAAACCATAAAGTAGAATTATCTCCCAAAGAGTATTCTTAATGTACAGTACTGTTAAAAACCATGAGCTGCAATACATCAATGGCAGAATGCATTAGACTGTATAGTTTTACATCATAATTCAGCCATTTACAGCTAAAATCTAATTCGATCAATAACTAATAATCCCCACTAGTACAAAAAAATTACTCATAATAAATATTGAACCCCAAAAATGGGGTTGTCGCTGTGGTCAAAGATGTTGACCACAGCGATTCAGATTATCCTGTAGAGTCTTTGTGTATTTGTCAGTGTCATAAAACTGTACCGCAGGTGCGACATGATGCACTGTTCGGACAAAAAGAAAACAAGAGAAGAGATACCTACAATCATTTAAACTTAAGGACTGCCTTCATTTACTGTAACTGGCCCTTAGACGTGACATGAGGGCTCTCTGAGGGGTTGCTCTTCTTGCCATGCAATTTCAACCGCTCATGTGGTCTGGGTAATGACTCACAGATCTCACCTGCCCATAAGTGAGAGAAAGAATGTAGACTGTCTGGTTAAACAAAAGCTTTAACTATTTTCACCAGAGCAGTCCCACAACAACCGCACTACTTTAGAGTGATACATGATGAACAATGTTGTCAGGACTTTCAGCTATCAGCTAGATATTATCAGCATCAGTAATTTCTCCTCTTGCTCCACAGCTGCCCTGTCACAAGGAGCTCCCCATGGTTTGGTGCTTGGTCTTCCCATTCTGTAACAATGTCACTATGCCATCCATTTTCAAAATAATTCTGTATGTATTGCCTTTTAATTTTATCTGGTTTATTGTTCCACATGAACTTGAAGATTTTTTGTTCAAGTAGTTTAGAACTCAGTACCTGGTGAAGGGAGAATCATTAATAAGTATACACAATTGGGGAACAACCAAAGAATTAACCAATGTAACTTTCCGTTGTGTTGTTAGAGCATTTCCCCAGAACTGTAAAGTTCTGTAATTTTTTTTTCTATCTTCCTATTATTATTATGTTCAACAGTTTCTTTAAGGTCTTCTGGATAGTGAATCCCTATTAAATCTATCGATTCATTGGTCCAGTTAATTGGATTAATTGGACTCTTCTGATCTTCCTCAGAGGAGCTGATCTTCATCCCAGCCGCTTCACACTTGGGACGAGTCCCATGGATGAGTCCCATGGACGAGTCCCCAGCCTCGGAAGATGTGACGGTGGGATCGAGCAGATCCTCAAAGTATTCCTTCCACCACTCCACCACTCAACAACATCCCCAGTCGAGGTCAAAAGCTCTTCCCCCGCACTGTAAACAGTGTTGGTGAAGCAGAGCTTCCTCCTCCTTAGGCATCCGATGGTTTGCCAGAATTTCTTTGAGGCTGTCCGATAGTCCTCCTCCATGGCCTCCCCAAACTCCTCCCAACCCTGAGTTTTTGCCTCTGCGACCGCACGGGCTGCAGCGAGCTTGGCCAACCAGTACCCATCAGCTGCCTCAGGAGTTCCACGAGCCAACAAGGCCCAACATGACTCCTTCTTTAGGCTGACGGCATCTGTTACTTTCGATGTCCATCACCGGGTTCAGGGATTGTCACTACGACAGGCAACACAGACCTTAAGGCCACAGCTACGAGCGGTCACATTGACAATAGATGTCAAGAATAAAGCCCACTCGGACTTCATGTCCTCAGCTTCCCCCGGAATCTGAGAGAAGCTCTCCCAGAGGGGTGAGTTGTAGGTCGCCCCGACATAGGGTTCTGCCAGATGTTCCCAACAGACCCTCACTACATGCTAAGGTCTGCCAAGTCTTTCCGGCTCACCACCAGGTGGTGATTGGTTGTCAGCTCTGCCCCTTTCTTCACCTGAGTGTCCAAGACACGTGGTCGACGGTCAGATGACACGACAACTTTGAACATCGACCTCCTAGGGTATCCTGCTGCCACATGCACTGATGGATACTCATGTGCTTGAACATGGTGTTTGTTATGGACAAACTGTGACTAGCACAGAAGTCTAATAACAGAACACCACTTGTGTTCAGATCAGGAAGCCCGTTCCTCCCAATCGCCCCTCTCCAGGTGTCAATGTCATTGCCCACATGGGCGTAGCAGTCACCCAGTAGAACAAGTCTCCAGTCGGTGCACTGTCTAGTCCCCTTCAGCCTGTAAGCCAACACAGCAGTGAGAGACCTGTCCCAAACCCGAAAACGTCACCCTTTTGGTCACAGGGGTGAACTTGAACATATGGCGGCTGAACTATGGGGCCATGAGCAGGCCCACATCAGCTCTCTGAATATTAGTTATCTCATTGCACACCACATGATTTAGTAAATATTTAGTAAATTTGTACTAATTACATGTGTAGCACCTCAGGTAAGCTGTGTTGGAGAAGTAAACCTGTGATTGCTTCACTGTCACAATTTCTTAAAGAGTTAGTGGCTGGGAGGAACTACAGAGACAAAAACCTTGCCCTCAATTACTCAGTGAAAATCCAATAAGCCATTAAATGTCTTTTTTATTTTTTTCAGTCACTAATAGACAGTTCAGTACTAATAAAATGCATTGGTTTAAAATTTTGTAAATTCATTACACTATAACTACATGCTAAATAAACAAATAAATCAAATATAATTCTGCACACAGAAAGTGCTATTCAGAAATATCTTGATCAAGGTTTTCTACATTTATTGTATGTTATAGTGACCTAAACCAGTCTAGTGTCACACATACATCAGTAAGGCTTTTTTAACTGAGTGCATCCACAACTATGACACCCAGATTATTATTAAACAGGACCCTTCCTTCTTTCTCTAAACTGCACTGGGGGTCTCTCAGCAGCCTCAGCACCCCCTGTCTGAGCTCAGGTGAGGCGGTTTTACTGAAGTGCAGGACCTCAGTGAGAAAGTCCAACATCAGCTCTCCGGTCTCGTCTCCGTCAGTGAAACATTCAGTGATGTCCATGTGAGACTGCAGCTCGTAGCTCTTATAGGGGACTCTGCGGGCGTCCAGCAGGCTCTTGATGTCTGCAGTGGTCACACACTGACTGATCTCAGTGTTGCACAGCTGACTGCGGAAAGTTTCCCAAAGCTTCCCCCAACCACTGTCACCTGAAAGAGTGCATACAACATACATATATAATTTTGTGTTGTTTCTTTTTGTCCAACAGGTTAGAAAGTCACAATGTTTACTTTCAGAGTTTGCAACATTGAAGCATGGATGTAAAGCTATGGTAGCCAAATTTTTTTTTGTAAAGCTTTTTTTTTTTTTCTCCCTCAGATATTGTATTATGTATTAATGTGCATCTTAGACTTAGATTTAAACCAGCTTCAATGACCCACAAGGGAAATTACTTGGACACAGTAGTTCACACATCACATGACATTACAATAACAAACAGTAAAAAATATAAAAAAGGTAACAAAACACCTAAGTAAGTAGCAATAAAAAATAGCAAGAGACTGGTGTCAAATAAGACATAATTATATAAATGTATATGTACAAGAAAAAAACTGAAATATAGTCATTTAAAGACAGTATATCACAGCTACATTATATACAAGAGATCATAAGGACAACATTGTAAAAATGATATGATGATTTACAGAAACATAGGCTTATTTGTTACATAAAGGTGAGATGTTATAAAGCTGTATGGAGTATGGCATGAATATAGTCCTGCATCTAACTACAAAGCCTTTTATTGATTGAGATTAAAGGTGATTTGTTGTGCTTGGGAGACCAGCACTATTTCCCCAATAAATGCAGTTTGACAAAACCTGATTCCTCCCTCGGTGGCGATCTCTCAACAGCACAAAATAGACTGATGTCTCAAAGCATATAAAGCATGTGTATGTCAACTTACCCGACACTAAAAGAATCAGCAGCTTTCCATTTTTGTCGAGGAGGCTCTGAAAGAAGTTGATGGTGGCTCCAGGATCTTTGACATAGTACAGTACCTGTGGATTGAGCAGATACTGAGCTGGTGACTCTCATAGTCAGACTAATTATGTTTAACACAACTAAAGTTTAGCACAGAGCATGAGATCCTCATGAGAATAACTGATGTGAAATACTGTTAATAGGACCTGCCAAAGGAAAAGTGCACAAACCTGGACCATGTGAATGAAGTCGGCCTTCTTAGTGATATTGTTCTGTCTCCACTGCTCCTCAAACTCAGAGGCTGTCATTTTGTTCCAGGTAAACTTAATGTAGTCTAAATCTGGCTTCTGGTTGACCATCACTGTATCAAATAAACAGACAGAAGTCACTTTGATTGACATGTTTCTTTTTGGATTAAAGTTTTGATTATGTTTGATCATTTTAAGTCATATACCCCTATACTGCCATTCATTATTTCACAAATGTCAACATTATAACAATGCTTCTATAAACACATGAGAAAGCTAGCTATAGCTATTAACATGCGCTATTAACATGTGCTCAGAATTGTAGATTTCCAGTGATATTTGGTTTATTACACATTCAGAAACCATACCATTTCAGGTCTCCACGGAGCTAAGTCTGGATCATACATGAAACAGAGATCAGTGAGTTTCTGTGTGCGTGTCCTTTACATAGCACTGTAACAAGTGATGACATGTGACCTTACAGTAAAACGACATAGAGAGGCGCCACCATATGGTGCTATCAAGTACTACAGCATTAATACACTTCTAATACTGGCTGCTACAGTTGAGTGATAGAACAACTGTTTTGCTTTTGAAACCACTTGGTGACATAGAATACAAATAGTAAATGCTTGTATTTGTGGAAGAAGTCTTTACAATTAGCTACTCCTGCCCAAAATAAATAACATTAGCCACTCTAAATCTTCCAGCTATTTCTTAAAGTGCATTATAATTAAAGCTATAACACAAATTTATTACATAAATAATTAATTATTACTTTAGTTAATTTAATTAAAGTGCAGTTCCCAATATCCATTGCTTCATTTCACAATGAGTGAATATACTGAAATTAATGTGTCACTAAAGCTTGTACCTTTGTAGTTATGGAGCTGTTGGCTGCTGGGCTCCACTACCTCGTTATCCACCAGCACCCCTGGGTGCTTCAGACGCAGCTGAGAGATCATCTCCAGGTCAATCTTACCTACATCACAGGCAAGTGATGATTACACAGTACAGCGGACAATATAATGCTTTATAATGAGATGCAGACAACATGCAGCTGACATATTTTGACCTCATAAGCTGTTAATCCAGTATCGTACAAATTTCACTCAAATACCTGGGAACACAACTGAAATGTTTTGAATGTACTAAAACACCTTTTAGGGTGAAGTGTCCAGAGGTGTGCATCCAGAGTTGGCTGTGGATGGGGTCACTATGATCTTGGGTAATGACATCACAAGCAGTCTGATGAAAATGAAGTGCAGTTCCCTGATGTGTATAAAAAGTGCAGTTACTCGGTCAAAGCCCCCTGGATGACCCTTTGATTAGAGCATGAGTGGTCACCTTAGTTGTCTGCTTACTAAGTCATTTATTACTCCAAGATCTTACCTGCCCCACTCCCAACTCCAATGACATTTAGCTGTGACTTCCCGTTGCCAACACTGAGAAGAGACAATAATTATAAATGGTATCAATCAGCCTTCACTTGGGGAAGAGATTTTATATATAAATAAATAAATAAATAAATAAATAAATAATATATATATATATATATATATATATATATATATATATTTTTTTACATATTATAAGATGAGCACAAGCTTACTTACTTACTTATTACATTTCTATTATGTGTGATTTTAATTATTTATTTATTATTATTTATCATTTTATTTTACTTAGTTGTTGGACATGGGAATTGACATGCATTGCAGCAATTACATCTGTTACCCAGCAACCATACTGTAAACAGAAATCAAAGCTTGTCTAATTTGGACAATATTTGACAAATAAAAACATTTTAATTTCTAAAAAAATAAAATAAATGGCAGTATTGGAGTGCTGCACTGGATCAAAGCTCACAAAATAGGTGCTCATTGGACCTTTCATTGGATTCTTATAGAAATAAAAAGGATGGCAGAGACATTCTGATTTGCCATTGTTATTTGTCACATTTATTGGTGGTCACATTTTGAATTTGGTATTTTACTGTAAAGATTTTACCATAAATTGTGATTCCTTTTTATAATTTAGAACTAGCCTTTTATATGTAAAATTTACCACACAGGTACTCCCCCACAAACTGAAAGGAAAAAAATCGTCACATGCATTTAAATACTTTCTGTAGTATGATTAAACTTGGTATTACCAGTCCAAATAAGAACAAAATACAGACTTTGTAGCATTATCAACTTTTAGATTTTTTTTTTTTCAAGTTTAGTAAATCTCAGTCTAGTGCATTACCTGGCCACTATGTCAGGCAGTGTGTTGAGGATGAAGTCTCTCATAGCCTGATGTTCAGAGGAGCGCTCCAAAAACAGCTCAAATGATTTTTGGTATCGGCCATCATCATGGACTAGGCACTGGAGTGGAGAAGCCATTGGACTGTTGACAAAAAATATACATTTTATAAACCGAACATGATGTGGAGGAGGCGGCACTGTTCTCAACGTAAATGAAGTTGGATAGGATCAAAGACATGATTTCTTAATCCCAACTATATTAGAAAATTGTGAGTATGTATTTACATGCACTCGAGTATCCCTATGATTTTTTTAAGGACCCATGATTTAAATACCATGGATAAAAGTGTATTGATGAGGAGGGGGAGGTGACTGTTTGACAGGCAGGGACAGTTTCCTGTGGGTGGCCAGGGTGCTTGCTGGGCCCAAACTTGTGGTTATCTGTTAGAGGTGATTAATGGTTTTAGATGGTTGATCAAAGTTTATTTGTATTTTAACATTTTGGTCTATTTTAACTGTATTTAATTGTTTATTACAGTGTTGATGTGGCAACACAGTTTGTGGACTGGACAAAAGTTTGTTTCGTCGAATACATTTCACAGCTCATCCAAGCTGCTTCTTCAGTTCTGGTCAGAACGCTGGTGGACACTTCCTTTTATGTGTCTGCAGGGAGGAGCTAACTAACTCCTCTGAAACTAACACACCTACTTGTTTACAGTTTATGTTAGTTAGTTAGGCCTATTGAACTACACAGAGTGTGGGGTCTTATTAGCATAACCATTCAGGGCCATAATGGAGCTTTCACACCTCTGGACCTGATCTGGCAACACCTATTGTTCTCTTGTTTGTTTTGATTTCGTTTGAGGATGGAGTTGTAAATAGGAGATAGATGGTGTCTGAGGCCTCCATTTCTGTTTAAAGAATCATTCTCTTTCTTAACAAACTAGCTTCTTTAACTCCCCTCTCAAACCAACCAAGAGGGGAGTTAAATAAACTATGCGCTGTCCAAACAAGTTACATGATCAAGTCTCCTGCTGACTGGTAAAAAAACATTTTACCCTCTGGACAACCTGCATACCCACTTATATCTCCTAGGCACTCATGGACTAAAACCAATCAATAAAAAAGGTGCCAAGATATAAATAACAAGACAAAAAAAAAAAGGGAAAGAGAGACAGAGACACAGAAAGAGAGATGTAAATCTGCGAAAACTGAATTCCTAAATTAATTTGGCACAAATAAATATAGTCTACAAATAACTATATCTTAGTATAAACCCAAATAGACAAATAGCTCTTACAAACTGTGTGTTCTCTTGTCCCTAGGTCCCCCCTATTAGAAATTTGGATTGTAATTTACATATGTTTAAACAACAGTGATACCATTATCTGTCCTTGTAAAGGTCTATGAGATGGTCTTATATTTAGTTACAGTATAATCCATATAATAAACACAACATGAGGCAAGAAAGGAGAGCTGAGCAGGCACAGAGCACAGATCGCATGATGGAGACACTGGATTTGAACAGTCTCTGTGCTACAGAATTAACTAGAAAAGCACTCAGAGAGCGCAGACCTCCGCCAAGGACTACCCCCATTTTTTATATAAATTGCGATAAAATCAGTCTTCTGGATCAGATCCGGATCAGCCTTTGGAATATGAAAGAGGATCCCATTGTCCATCCCTGAGTCAAATTTCATGGGGTTTGGTCAATAATTAACCGAGATATTGAGAAACAAAATTTTTGGCCCCATTTACCACAATGTTAACAAAAATTTCAAAGTGATCCAGAATCCAGGATTTCTTCCGGATCACCCCCAAAATGAAATCAGTTCTTCCTTTTCACATTTCCAACAAATCCTGAAAATTTCATCAAAATCGGTCCATAACTTTTTAAGTTATGTTGCTAACAGACAAACAAACAGACAAACGCCGGCAAAAACATAACCTCCTTGGCGGAGGTAATAAATCTCAACTTTGCTTTCTGGCTGTAGTTTAAACTTCAGCCACTAGGGGAGGCACTGCCCCCCTTAAACTCCGACAATACCAACATGATAAGCCAAAGTTTAGTTCTTTAAAGGTTCATAACATGGTAGACTGCGATTTAGCTGCAAAGTGTGGGAAATTTATCTACCCCCGGACAAATTAGGATTCTACTTTACTGGTAGAACTTTACTTTATTAGACTACACGACTACAGAACAATAGGCTACTTTATTATTAAGATTCATTATTAAATGCAGTGAAAAGTAAAGTGACATTGTGTGATAAGCAATGGCTTGACCTAAACATTATGTATGTTATGCATTTACATTTTTGGACCTTCTGTAACCAATTCATCCTATCGGCCACTTATAACTTTTTGTCGAAATGACTGGTTTATGCAACTGTTAGACCTACTGTAGGCCTTTCTGTAGCCTTTTATCTGGCCAACGAGAGTACGTGTTTATGGCTGCTTATATCATTCAAGGCTTGGTTCGCAATGCCTCTGTATTGTAGCTATCTAGTTTGATGTTTGAAGTGTTGCTTTGGCGTAGTAGGCGATAACATGACTGCTTATGCATGGACCAGGATATACAGCGCTGCACAATTGTGTTCACTTGTTCCCAAAACGAACCGTCTATGCACCCGGACAGCCTACACGTCAGACGAGCGCAGCTTGCCTCCTCTCACTGCCAGTGACGAGGCTTTCTCTCTAAAAATGAGCTACTGGACCTGTACGGCTTACAAATGGCATCAGCGAAGACTACGAAAACTACGTGTTCGACACATCGACCATGGCTTGTGCACTGCTCTTTACGTTTATACTGCAGAGATCTATCACATTTCTCATATCATTCAGATCACACCATAACGTGTAGGCTACTTACAGTACGTGCAGCTGCTGTTCGAGCGCGTAAAACAGGGAAGCGGAACCAGCTGGGGCGAACCCTCCCTCCGCTGTAGGTCAAGGAATGACTGGTATTGGTTAGTTATTATTTCAGTTCACATTTTTATGACCACACACAAACTTTTTAAAGGTATAAGCACAAGAATTCATACCAAGAGCAAAATAAACAATTAAATCAATTTCAAAATGAAATAGCGTCTAAGCCTACTCAAAATCCCCGGATTTCTCCGATCACAGACCTACGTTCAGAGTTTATAACGCTATTTTCTGATCTATGATGAAATATTGTTTCTTCACTAAAAACATTCCTGAAGTTGTTTCATTTGCACGTTTATCCCACAAACCCTTCATATTTAGGCTGTATTCTGCCCTCAAACGGAAAACGCTGTTCCATCTTGTGTGATGTGTGAGGTAAAACAAGAAGTGCTTCACTGTTTTCAAACTTTAAAAACTTTAAGTAGAACCATTTGGGTAATCTCCGCCATAGAATAGTCAATCTCTACTGAACTAAAGGTAAAAAATTAACTTGAGAACTACCACTACATGACATCACAAGGTGGAACTGAGCATTTTGAGCTTTGGAGATGTAGATTGACTAATAAGAAAGGATTACTCAAATGTGTGAATTAAACAAAACACTACTCAAGGTATGTTTTGAGGAAGCAATAACATTAAAATATGAGTAAAAGCTTACCAGAGTATATTTTGCGTAATATAAAAGATGACCATAAAATATTTAACCTTTTTTCATCTTCGAGGCTCACAGGAGAAACGCATTCCATTTTTACATGTATAGGTTAAGGTTACCTTAGAAAAGTGATTTACTGAGACAGACTAATCCAATTTCTGTTGTTATTGAAGTGATGAGGGATGATCAGCACACACCCGTTATGTAGAACACACACACACACACACAAAATGCTGGTTAAAAATAACCTAACCTGTGTAAAAGAATAACCCAGCGCTGAGTCACACCAACACAATTCTGGATTATTTTGACCCAGCAGTTTGGATTAATATTTTAGCCCACCTTTTTGGGTTGTATTTTACTACTTTGCTGGGTTCATTATGACCCATTATGTTAGAACTGAAATGACCAAACCTGTGTTTGGGTTAAGCAAAATGATCCAACTTTGAAAATAACCCCAAAAAATTACCCAACAGCCGTAACCCAGCAGTGGGGTAGAAAAAATAACCCAGTATTTTTTAGGGAGTATTTGAGGGAGTAAAATAAGGCCTTGACTACTGTACCTCAAATAATACTTGCCTGAGAGCAGACATTCAGGATATTACAGCTTTTAATTTGTATTTACAAAAACCGTATATGGAATATTTTGGTGTTGACAGATCCGTTTAAATGGCCCATACAATGAAGTTGTTTTAAAAGGCTAGTCTATCTAAATGAAAGCTACTATACATTGCATTTTGACCAGCCGGACCAAAACAAATGACTTTGTAAGAAACAGCAGACAACAGTTATAAGCTCGGACAATGCATTTGAACTTTAATGTAGTGCGTTAATATTTTAGCTACTTAACCTTTTCTTTTTTTTCCACAGTGCCATAATGTTGTCTGTAATGATTGTCTATTGTGTGTTGTTTGTTCATGTCATTGATGCACTTGGAGCTTTTAGCACATGCTTTTATAATGCAAGACTAAAGACTTTAAATGCAGATGAAACAAACACAGAAAACTACCGGTACAGAGTGAAGAGGGCGGCAGGAGATCCACAACATTTGAGCCAGCTATAACTAGTGGCACAGTGTTGTGCTAACAACATTTTTTATTATTTATATGTGTAATTGGTTTGATAGATTTGTTCTGGTACCACACAGACATCAGTATGGCCTTTCTAACAGAGTGCATCCAGAACTATGATTCCTTGGTCATTATTAAACAGGACCCTCCCCTCTTTCTCTACACTGCACTGGGGGTCTCTCAGCAGCCTCAGCACCCCCTGTCTGAGCTCAGGTGAGGCGGTTTTACTGAAGTGCAGGACCTCAGTGAGAAAGTCCAACATCAGCTCTCCGGTCTCGTCTCCGTCAGTGAAACATTCAGTGATGTCCATGTGAGACTGCAGCTCGTAGCTCTTATAGGGGACTCTGCGGGCGTCCAGCAGGCTCTTGATGTCTGCAGTGGACACACACTGACTGATCTCAGTGTTGCACAGCTGACTGCGGAAGGTTTTCCCCAGGTTCGCCCAGCCACTGTCACCTGTAAGACAACAAAAAGACTGTATTTGTAGCATTACTTTTTTGCATTGTTTGGGTCAAAAAAATCTAGCTCTATTCTTGTCTTGTTTGCTTTCAGGTGTTTGCTGCATTAAATATTTTAAAACTGAAGTATTCATCTTGAACCTTTATCACTGTGCCTCATATGTATCCATTTCCAAAGCATTTTTGAGTCTGGCTTTATGAATTGGTGACCAGACAAATACAGTAAAATAAGAGATATCTTTGCACACACAGTCAAATGTTGTGAAAATACTTACCTGACGCTAAAAGAATCAGCAGCTTTCCATTTTTGTCAAGGAGGCTCTGAAAGAAACTGATGGTGGCTCCAGGATCTTTGACATAGTACAGCACCTGTGAACAGAGCAGAAACTGAGCTGGAGACTGGCTGCGCTCATATTGAGTCAACTTATGTTTTAACACAACAGATAATGAGCTGGTGACTCTCATAGTCAGACTAATTATGTTTAATACAACTAAAGTTTAACACAGAGCATGAGATCCTCGTGAAAATAACTGATGTGAAATACTGTTAATAGGATCTGATAAAGGAAAAGCACACAGACCTGGATCATGTGGATGAAGTCAGCCTTCTTGGTGATATTGTTCTGTCTCCAATGCTCCTCAAACTCAGAGGCTGTCATTTTGTTCCATGTGAACTTGATGTAACCTAAATCCGACTTCTGGTTGACCATCACTATCTCACAAACAAGTCACCAAGGACTGTCAATAGTTTTCTGAACAGGTAAATATTTTTAAACCATTAAATAATCATTTACTAGGACAGGACTAATGAATAAGACATGTTTAACTAGGAACATCTCGGAACGATTTGTGCTTTTAATCATTACCTTCTCATGTACCAATAATAACATACTTGTAATTTTTAGTAATAGTAATAGATAATGGTTAATGAACATTAACAAATAATTCGCAGGTATACCTTATTATAAAGTGTTACCAGCATGTGTCACTAAAGCTTGTACCTTTGTAGTTATGGAGCTGCTGGCTATTGGGCTCCACTACCTCGTTATCCACCAGCACCCCTGGGTGCTTCAAACGCAGCTGAGAGATCATCTCCAGGTCAATCTTACCTACGTCACAGGCAAGTGATGATTACACAGTATAGACACCAACGCCATGGCTTATGACGTACAACCCTCCTCTTGTCTATGGCAATACAGAACTAAAAAGAAACAGTCTATCATTCTTTTAATGCCTTTGTCTTTGAAGCAATATTAAGAAAAATATAATACAAGTCATTTTTGTTCTTCATGTTGTTCATGTTGTTTCTGATGCACATTGAACAATGCCTTTAGGAGAGTTTTTACTTTATTTTATGACTTTTATAGTCCATTAGAGAACATGTGAGATCGCTGCCATAGAGACATTTAGAAGAACGACTTTGACTGAAATGAAGGATAGCATCACTCATGGTGAGAGGTGGCTTTTTCAAGAAAGAAACTCCATGTTCTGTTTCTGAGTCAATCTGCAGTATGGAGACAGACGGCGGTTTGGATCACATTAAACAGCTGAGTTCACAGTTGCACTGAGGTCCCAGACTGAGATGAAATATTATATAAAGAAAACTTGCATACACGTAGCACAGCCTAGGATAACAGGCTATATAGTCTGTTTTATTATATTATTTAATTACAGCAGTGTCATGGATCATTAGAGCATGAGTGTTCCCCTTAGCTGTCTGCAGTCAAAGACTTAAATACATTTTACTGACTGACTGAGTATATTAACGGTACTGCATAAGTTCACAAGACAAGCACAAGTTCTTACCTGCCCCACTCCCAACTCCAATGACATTTATCTGTGACTTCCCGTTGCCAACACTGAGAAGAGATAATAATAAAAATCGTATCAGCCTTCACTTGGGTAAGATAGGGTTGAGGATATATATCTGTTTCATTCACATTCTAGGACAATTCTGACAACAGACCGAAACATTATAATTTATATTATGTGTGATTTAAAGGGCCTGTACCTGATTTTAATGTAGTCTTTTTAAGATAAATGCTCTTTTCATCATGTATCATAAAATAAATGGCTAAATAAAAGAATTGAGACTAAAATGTAATCTATTCATTTAATGTAGCATTTTCATGGGTAATAACTAAAACAGAAGCTACTCACAAGGTCACCTTTTTTCCTGCAATCTGGCACATTGTTACTTCTCACTCATGGGAAACCAACTAGCAATATCCTAGCCTAGACACACAAGAGTGACAAAAATGCTTAAAGTAGGCAAATATTTTCTATAAGGAAAAAACTGCATGACAATATCTCGCACAGTGGCAGAAAGGACAAAGTGGACAGGGCTATAAGTAGCTGTAGAAAGGTAGGTTAAGTGCCCAAGGACACGACAACAGTATTCATCTGTGGGAGCTGGAATCACGCCGCCAAACTGTGGCTCTACTAATGATGTTAATTTCGAGATAGAGTGTTGAACTGCCAACCTTCAGATCAGGGTGAACATGTTCTTGACTCACGGTTTGAAATCAGGTAAGGCCCTTTAAGATCACCGTTTGTAGCTGTGAGAGGTTGCAAATATACTATGGCTCATTTACCCAGGGCCCAATGCAGGGCCCCTCATATAGTCGGTAACGTGCATGTTGTGCGGGCCCAATGAGATCATATTTTCTCAAGACCCAGAGTTTGGTGCTCCACCCCTGTGAGCACTGTGCTTTACCTGGACATCATGTCGGGCAGTGTGTTGCGGATGAAGTCTCTCATGGACTCATGTTCAGAGGAGCAGTCCAAAAACAGCTGGAAAGCTTTTTGGTATCGTTCGTCATCATGGACCAGGCACTGGAGTGGAGAAGCCATTGTTCACTGTGAGACAGCAAAAACACAGTTACACCTGATACCAATGTTCAGTTATACTGACTACATGTAACGCCCTGGACAGCAGGTATTATACTGTACGTTAGATTTTAATTTTAAGTGAATCCTTCTTGGTAGGTGTCCAGGCTCAAGTCAGCTAGAGAGGCTCTGATGCCTGGCTTGGTGTCTTCTGGTTTGCACTTTCATTCGAATCATTCAGCCTTGAATTTGCCTGCAGGTTAAGACTACCTTTGAGACCTTAAATGCAGATGATTTTTTTGGTGTAATTAGTATCGCAGTTATTACTCATATTCTGGTTATGGCAGTATTTGGGACATACTGTTGCTCATATCCCTCTGTACATGATCAAATGTAGTATCCCGGTTTCTTGACATAATCTTACAAATGTGCAAGCACAAAAATTATATATTTAACTAGGAAAAATACAAACAACCATGAGCTCCTTTAGCATAGTAAGGAGGTTCCAAACCCGCGGTAAGGAGCTATAAGGTGTCCCACAAACCACTGCGCAGATAAGACCGAACTTTTCCTAACACTAGTGTAGGTTATACACTGCATCAGATAATTAATTAAAATCTTTTGCATAAATAAACTCACATTTACAACATATAAACCATAATACCTGGTTACTATTGGAATATCCCAACTACAACATCCCAGTTTCTAATAACCGGGATACTGGCTTATTTGGGTTACTAAAACCGGGATACCGCGTTGTAGGAGAAAATGCGATTTAACTTGTGGTAAGATGTGCGTGTTTGAGCATGTGGTTTAGCTTTTGACGAATTATTGAAATTATACATTTGCGGGGCACCAGATTCTGACCGAATCAAACTTAACCATATGCGACAACAACAACTTATCAATTTAATCAATCTGAAGGGAACGTACCCGAAAAAGTGACCTGATGATAACTTTAAGAAAAATCACTGAAATCAGCAAATTCCTTTGTGTGGTTTATTAACAAACAATAACTAGACACCAGCTTCCAAGTTCTGGTTACGTAACATTAAAGCACAGATTTTAACAACCTGAGGTAGTTATAAAAACGGGGTTCAGTTTAGCTCAGTTACGGCGTTTCGCTAAATCGCTACTGCGCTTGCCTTGGGAATAATTGGACGCAATCGTAAGAGGGATGCCAACCCTTATTCATTCACTGTTCAGAACCAGCCTTACTTGGCGATGCTGTTCTCGGTCCGTGTGGAATGCGGCGATGGCGGGGTTCGGCGGTGGTCGTGCGCACGGGCAGGCAGCGGCGTGATGATGGTACTCGGGTAGGGCGGTCCACGCCTCCTTCACCGGCTCTGGTCCTCAGCTCTCGGCAGGTGCGACTCCAGGTCTGTTACAGCTCCCCCTGGGTCTCTCCGACCGGCCGTCTTCCCTGGTCCTCTTCGGCGGGTCCTCGCGGCGGCGAGACAAGGCGAAGAGCGAAGAAAGGCGAAGCGAAAGCGCGAAGCGAAGCGAAAGCAAAGTTTTCGCGCGTGAGGCTTCGTTTTGGTCAGTGCGCTTGGTGGGCGTTGTTATATGCAAATTTAAGGCACGCCCGCGTCTGAGCTGAACTGGTCCCCGTACAAATATCATTTGCAACTATTAAATTGATGACTTCCCACATTCAGGTACTAACTGATTACGATAACATTAGCCGACGATTCATACAAAGAAATCAAAGGTATATCTGTCCGCTGTGGCTGTAGTCGTGAATGTTTTAATCTAAACCTACAGAGAACCTGATATTTGCTAATTAGCCCTGGGATAACGTTACGTCGGATGTTAGCCAACTGGCTACCACTATGTTATCTAACATATAGGTGCAATTTCCCGTTCAAAGGAGGTGTTTCTACACAATATTATACAGCAGCGTTCGGTTCCCGAATTCAAGACATTTTTACAATAGATTTTAATTAACCCACTTGTTGGTCGCTGTTGTAGCTTCTTGTGCTATTACTCTGTTTTTACCCTCTGCTACAAACTTGAGCATGCGCAGTCATGATCTTGATCGATGTTTCTTCTGCTCGATGAATAATGTCTGTGAAATGATGACGTATTTTTGACAGTAAAGTTCCGTCTGTGAATTTGTCTTCGTACTGCTGAAAGCGTAATCGTAAATTTTCATTTCGTGATTGTAATTCATGACGTCGTAATTTTTCAATTCGTATTCTGATGGATAAAATACACACAATATATTTTATGTACGACTGGACTCATTTGAGAGTTTACAAATATTTATTTTATGCGCAACTACAGCCAAATATGCACGGATTTCCCAAATACGCACGGATTTCTATTTTATGCGCACGAATATTTTTGACAGCTTTCTTACTCCATAAATATGGACTTTGGGCCATTTATGTAAAATCAACTTGAAAGGAAACAAAAATTGCATTAAGAATGTTTTGTACAAATTGTGCATTCCGATTTCTGAACTGCCTTAAAATCGTCACATGTTAATATTCTTCAATTTTTAGATGGAGAAATACAGATGTATAGATGGATATGGAGATGGATGTATAGCAATTGCACCAAAAAATTATTTTCAAAGTTATCACAATAAATGCACCTTTAGATACACAAATTTGCCTAATTTAGCTAAACTGTTAAATACAATTTTAACAGCCAACATCTGTTAAGTTCATCCTTAAGGTAGCTAACAAACTTTTAATGGGTGTGAAATGTTAAGTTTATATGCATACTTGAATATACTAAAGAAAGTTTATATTTTGTATGTAATTTTATAGAAGTTCTAACCACATAAAAGTTTTCAAATGTTACTTGTTAATTGTGAAGTACAAGTATATGTCTGCACTTTAAAAATGTTTGTTGCAACTGCACTTATATTAAAGAGGGTGTATTATGCCAAAAAGTTCTCTTCAGGGCCTTATTTGACCCTTCCTTAAAACATGCTAATGCGTTGTTTTTGGCAACTATAGCATTTTCAAAACAATAAAATAACATGGTGATCTAAATGTTAACTTGTAGAAGTAAAATTCACCCTCTTTAAGAATGGTTGTCAGAGTAGGAGTTTGATTTTAGAAAAAAGAGCTCCTGTTGGAAGGACTGACTGTTTTGGAATTTGTTTCAATAAATGAAACTTTAAAGTTAAATAAATTTTGTACTTGCAGGTTTTAGATCATTTGGTGTGTGTTAATTGTATGTACTTGACTTCCTTAGCTTGGGCTTGAAGACTTGAATTTAACAGTTCACTCTTAAAACTTTAAATAGTGTGTGCAGTTGCTGCAAAGCTTTTTTGAGTTGACAATGACAACAAGAGTTGATAAATTCACTGTGCCAACAAAAGTTGATAAGTTAATAATGTCTTGGGGTCAACTAATTTGTCTTTGTTTACAAAGTAGTCCGGTTCCTTATATACTTTTGTGGGAATTTTTTGGGGATTTGCTAACCTATATATTTTTGGAAAGGTTATAGTAAATGGAGTCAGAAAATCAATGTTTGCATTTGCCCACATGTCTTTATGGCGGCCATATTGGATTAAAAAAAAAAGGCTGCCAAAAAACCCTTTTTGGAATATCTCAGCCTCTGAATAAGTTGAAATGTTGATTTTAACTGCTAAACCCACATTTTCAGGGTCAGAGAATCAAATGGTGCTAGTTACAAACCTGTAAGACCTACCCACATTAACCCTTAGATGAATAAGTGGGTCAAAAATGACCCGGTTTGGTTGTTTTCTTGCAATTTCACTGTAATATTCACATGTAATACTCCATGTTCCTCCAAAAACATGTTTTTTTGTTGTTGTTTTTTAATTATCCTGCTGAAATACATCAACAATATGGGTAAAACAAATTATAAACATCACATGCAGCTGGTCAGATAACTCAAAGAGTTTAAAAGTAGCTAACATAAAATTTGGATGTTGGATGTAAACACACACATTTAGACACAATATGATTGCACAACTTTTTTATGAGACATTTTCTATACATCATCATTATCATCATCGCTTTCATACAACCATAGACTGTATATATGAGTGGACAGATCTAACACTGTAGCCGCCATGTGCCAAATAGGAAGTTCTCCAGGAGGCTCTTCTGGCTCCTTCTGACTCTGGCTCCAATGGACTTACATTAGGATCTTGTGGCTCCTCTCTCTGTACCTGCTGCAGTGAGCCTCAGCATTTTGGTCTTAAAATGTTTGTGTTAACCCACGACACATGATCCTATTCATAATATAGAGTCTGGCTCCAGATTGGCTCCTGTAACTGTGAACATCATAAGCCTCATTTGAGTGGTACTGAACTCTGTGGGTCACACTCACTTAGTCCACTTCTTTTATACAGTCTATGCAACAACATGGCTTCGGAATCATCGTCATTCTGGCACTGGCTGCTGCACTGACACATGTCGGTACAGGATAAACCTTTAGTTTCTGGTGTGCAGTTCTGCAGTCGCCTTTGTACTTGGCAGTGGTGAACCATGGACCTGGACCCTTCATTAGGACCAACGGCTGCTATCATGACATCATTTATTTAAAGAAAACTAAATGAAGCAAATTGCGCATGCATTTATTGCATATATTTGCTTAATAAACATTAGCTACTGTTCAACAAGATGGACAGATCCATGGCTGTCTGGGCTCCGAGCTCTGCTCTGGCCACGGGCTCTGAGCTCCAGTTCTTCCGTCGTCCAAATAGGGGTGTCCTGCTTGTTTTTTGACACTGCGGTCTCGCTTATATTTGCTATCACAGGGTATTCACAAGATGTTGTGGTATGTGTATATATATATATATATATATATATATATATTATATATATATATATATATATATATATATATATATATATATATATATATATATATATATATATATATACAGGGAATGCGGCTACGGCCAAATACCTGCAAAGAGTGAGGCAAGTCCTAAGAAGCCAGCTCAATGGCAAGAACAAGGTGCAGGCAATCAACAGTTCCGCCCTGCCAGTGATCAGATCCCTGCAGGAATCATAAGCTGGCCAAAGGAGGAGATACAG